TGTAGGATAGTCTCTCTAATCCTTTAATTGATTGTTTCCTAGTTCACGATAGTTTCCTCACTCATATGTCCCAAGCATTTCTCTGCTAAATACTTGAGGGAGACCTCTACATAACTCTATTGTTCTCTCTCTCTCTCTCTCTCTCTCTTTCTCTCTCCGAAATTATCCCTTCTGTACTCTATCTTGTGAATTCTATCCTTCTTGTCTCCCCAGCCTCTCACTAACTCAGAGTCTTCAAGGCTCTGTCTTACTTGGCCCTTCCTGCACTGCTGATTTAGAAACTGTTTCCAGATTGTTAGGTAGGACAGCTGTAATGTTTATCTTGTTTGTTTCCTATTTTTCACATTCACTGTCTTTTGTTGACTGATGGCCAGTGTCTTCAAAAATGTCATGTCATAGATTTTGTACTGTTTTTTAGTTGTTTCAGGCAGAAGATTAAGTCGTATCTTTGTCTACTTCATTTTGTCTTAAAGTGGTAGTCTGGGACTAGCATTTCAATTGGGTGATAGTGGATCAACATCTCACTTCCAGAATTAAAATGTTGAGCACAGGAAAGGTATTATTGATTCCCAGAGCTGTGGAACTTGCTTTGAAAAGGGAAAAGTATGCTTATGATATGCTAGCTAGTGCTTAAGTGGCTAAGGTCTCTGGCTTCTATCTGTCTACCTCCAGTGCAGAACATGCCATGCATGAATATAGACTGTGATCTTGGTATATTGTTTATTATAGAACAGAACTCAGTTTATGGTAGGGTCTGTCTAGGACCCCCTTCCAAGGAGGGTTTTTAAAGGACCTTGATAAAAGCTGTTCTCAAGACATAGAATAACAACAGAGAAACAAGGCTCCAGAATTCATGGTTTCTTGTGTTATAGTGTAGAAATTTCAAGAATGTGTGAGCAATTCTTACTTGTAGTCATTTCTAATTTTCTTTTAAACTCTTCAGACCTTCATTGTCGATGTGGGACTGTCTAAACCCATACTAGCACAGAGATGCAGTCAGTAAGTTTTGATTCCTAAGTCTGGAATATTAGGTAAGAGCAAGCATTTTCAATGCATTTCCCAAAAGACAATAAATTAGTATATTCGTTGTACAGGCTTTTAGAAAATGATTTGTTACTTCTTTAGACAGCTTATTAATAAGAAGTTATTTATTTGTTATACTTCACTTGTGTATACAATAAAATTGTCATGTCATCCAAAATGAGGTATTTTCATTATGCCTTAGAAGAAGACTTTTAAAACTACATTTTGTATGTGTTAAAGACTTTTATGATATATGTCATATATTTTAAAGGGAATGGTACCTTCCTAAATTTCTCTCCCCACCCCCGACATATACATGCACATACACAGATACACACACAAAACTCTTAAGCTATGTTTTACTTTGCTAATATTCAGAAAATATATTTGGATGAATGAATGATAATTTTAGAGCTTCCAGTTTTTCCAGAATTAATTTATAGGTTTAATAAAATTTCAATCAGTGTCTCAATAGGAATTTTTGTTTGTTTGAAAGTGACAGAATTATTTTTACCAACTTATCTGGGAAAGTAAACAAATGGAGGAAAACTAAGGTTTTGAAAATAAGGCACACCTTTTTCTTGCCCTACCTCTTGTTTAAAATTTTATAAAGATACTTCTATCAGCAAAACATCATAGTATCAACACAAGATTAGACACATACTGTATAGGCCCAAAATATTCTGGTATACATGATTTACCATATGTTACTATGATAGAAGATGGATAACAAGTTAATGGCAGAGATTGATTGATTAGCAAATAGTATATTATAAATCAGATATTTCAGAGAAAAATCATTTTAAATTTTCATCTCTATTTCATACAAATGATAAATTTTACCTAAATAGTTAAATCTGGGAAAACAATTGTTCTAAAAGAAAATGCAGTTGAATTTGTAGTTGACCATTGAATAGAGATTTCTGTAATCATTAAAATAATGAAGGAAAATCATACATAAATGATACATAAATTTGACTACATAAGATTAAGAATTACTGAATGTAAGACAACAAGCACAAAATGGTGAAAATATTTATTATATTTACAATATTACAATATTTACAAGTAATATTATGGAGAACTGACATTTTTAATATTTAAAGGGCTTATACCAACTGAAAAAACAGTAAGTAAATAATGAAAAATAGGCAGAAACATTGCTGATAATTCACTTACAAAATAGAAAGGCCTAGAGAAGAACATGGTAAAAAATGTTTAGCCTAGGAATCAAAATTTAAATTAAAAAAATTGGTGACATTTTTGTGTAGCAAATTAAAAAATATTTTTTGAAGAGTAATATTCAGTGCTATGGTGTATGTAGTAAGACAAATGTTTTCATAAATTGCTGATGGGAGTATAAATTATTGTAAACTTTTTTGGAAAATAATTTTATTCTTTATATCAAAAATCTTGGACTATTTATTTTTACCAACCCAGTACTTCCTGTCTTATTTCTTAGGAATCCTTCTTGGGTTAATAATCATAAGTGTGGAAAATATATATATATATATATATATATATATATATATATATATATGTATATAAATAATAGAGTTATCTAAGATAATGAAGCACTGGAAGTAACCCAAATGAACATTTAGGTAAATTATGGTAAATTAGTTATGTTGATATTCTTCAGGCATTGAGAACCATAAAATATAATATCACCAAACCAATTTACCATAATTTACCTAAGTGTTCTGTTGGGTTATATCCAGTTTTTAATTATCTTAATTATCTTAGATAACTTTATAATATATGTGTGTGTGTGTGTGTGTGTGTGTGTGTGTGTATAACATTTTAAAGATATGGGATGTTGCTTATGATATGATAAGTGGGTAAAAAGGAGGACACTAAGTAGTATATAGTGTGATCTTAAATATGTTAAAACACACATGCACTCATACATACACAAACAATTTGAAGAGCAGACAACGAAAGCCTAGCAGGGTGCTAGGGTTTTAAGTGATGTTTTTTCATGGGTTCATTTGTGATAGGGTGATTAGTGAATAGGAAACCATTAATGGTATTGAAACTAAAACAGAGTTGAAATATCACCGGCAGAAGTGGCTTCTGGGAAAGAGGTACTTCTTAGGTAGTTCTTAGGAATAAGTATTCCTGAGTTCAAATCCTAGACCTGCTTCTTACTAGCTATGTTATTCTGGGCAAAATATTTTATCACTTTGTCTCTTTGTCTCTTTTTCCATATGTAAGGTGGTGATAATACCTACTTCATAGGGTTGTTTGAAAGAGTGTAATACCATAATGAATGCAAAGTTACTGGCATATAATTGCTACTTAGTAAGTTTCTTATTTGTGTCTCTCATGAGGCTTTTAACACAGTTTAATGACAAAATAATATGCTTGCCATAAAATTAGGCAAAGACTCTAATTTAGAGTTTGTAAGGTATTTGTTTAAGTTTTTCTTATGTGTTAGGTTTAAATGAAAGTTTTGATTAGCCTTCCTGAGAAATAAGTAAGAAACATATTTATTCTTCATAAAGTATCAAGTGAAAATTATGTTCATATACTTTTACCATTATATTCAGATGAACTCTGAAATTTAGATAATGCACAACTTTGTTTTTCTATAGATCATTTTCAGAAGTAGGCAGAGTTTCAAAATTTATCTTTAACTGCTCATTCTCTGAAATTTTACTAGTAACCTGAGTCTGTATTATGTAATTCATTGAGCATAATAATAAATGGGCAGTTGTTATAAGATTTTATGATGTTTCATTCAAATTTTGAGCTTTCCTAATAATCCAGAGATTTCTTTAATGAAAATAGCTAATTTCTAGACAAGTTATTTGTTTTGCCATTCAGAAGCCTTTGATAAATCTTAAAAATTACATCTAATGTTTGAGTAGTACCCAATTTTGTGTGTAAATTTAACACTCAGGAATGAATATAGGCATAAACCTATAATAATTATGCCTCATGGTTAAATACATAGCATTCTACAATTTACAAAGTTTTTTTTCCACATAAACTAATACGGTTTTTTTACAAAAAATTAATGTTTATTATCTTTTTTTTGAGAGAGACAGTGTGAGAGGGGGAGGCGCAGAGAGAGAGAGGGAGACACAGAATCTGAAGCAGGCTCCAGGCTCTGAGCTGTCAGCACAGAGCCCGACATGGGGCTTGAACCCACAAGCTGTGAGATCATGACCTGAGCTGAAGTCAGACGCTTAACTGAATGAGCCACACAAGCCCCCTAATATGGCTTTTAAAATAACCTTGTTAGGTAGATATAGCAAGTGTTATTATCCTTATTTTACAGCTTTAGAAACTAAAGCCTAGAGGGCTAAGTAACATGTCAAACATTACACTGCTAATCTGATTCTAATTCCAGTGCTCTTTTCACTTCACCATAGCAGCTTTATTCCCAGGCACAAAATGAGGAATAAAATGTCATTAAACCCAAGTACTTTACTAGCAGAATGGGCCTAGATCTACTCTTTAGGTTAGACACTGGGTTTAGAACTGTGTTTAATGTAAGAGTTACTCATTTAACATCTTGTGTTGGTATACTAGAAACTTTGGGTTAGTTAGAGCTGTTAATAGTGAAATTCCTGAGAAGTGATAGTAGACAGTGAAAGAGAAAATGTAGAAATAGTGGAATTACCAATGTACACCAAAATATCCTATAAACTTCAAAAATCCTGAGAATATGACTACATTGTAGCAGAGTACTAAAGTTAATAATTGCATTATGACACTAAAGTGTTACAAAAAGGTAAATCCTGCAGAGTACATTCAATGTAGAAGATATATAAACTCCATTATATGTTTTAGGAAGATTTGCATTAAAACAGTATTAAAGAGAGGATTCTTAAAGAGTTAATTTCATCTAACTACTTTTCTTATTTTTTTAATTAACCTAGATTTGTCTGTTTATTCATTTTTAAAGAAGTAAATTTTTAAAATTCAATATTGAAGAAAGGACCAAATGGTAAATTATTGCATTCTAGGTTCTGTTTACAGAGGAAGATGTGAAATTCTACCTTGCAGAACTGGCACTTGCTTTGGATCATCTGCACCAATTAGGAATTGTATATAGAGACCTGAAACCAGAAAAGTAAGGCTATATTCTCCTTATGAATCCCTGTCACCAGTATTTCTATAATTACAGTTTTCTCCACTAAGTGTTTTGTTTTACAAATTATGTGAAAATATACATGAATTATGCAATTATATGAAACTTATTTATAACAAGTAATCTTTATGAGGTACCCATTGATTTTTAAATTTTTTTTAATTTTTATTTATTTTTGAGAGAGTGAGAGGAAAAAGAAAGAGAGAGTGAGCGTGGGGAAGGGAAAGAGAGAAGGAGACACAAAATCCCAAGCAGGCTCCAGGCTCTGAGCTGTCAGCACAGAGCATGATGCAGGACTCGAACTCATGAGCCTTGACATCATGACCTGAGACAAAGCCAGATGCTTTAACTGACTGAATCATCCAGGCGCACCGAGATACTCATTGATTTTAAGTTAATCATTTAAATATTTTCCAGTAAATCAAATAGATACCATTTTTAAGTTTATGATGATTTTTATGTAAATGAAAATATAAAAATATTTGATTCCATCTTGTTGAATGTGAATTTTGATTTACAGCATTTTGCTTGATGAAATAGGACATATCAAGTTAACAGGTATGCAGATTTTCTTATTTTACTCTATTTTATAATTTTATTTAATATATATCTGACTAAGCCTGTTTTCTTTTTTCTTTTACTCAATTTGTATTTTATTCATCTCTTTAGTGAACTAAAATTCATTTAAAAAGTAGATAAGGTAGCTCTCAATATGTTCTAATTGTAATACCAAAAATTTATACAATAGAGTCACTATCCTAATTATCAAATGACATTTGGCATGCTAGGTAAAAACATTATTTTAGCTAATCTCGACTATAAGATTTATCATAAGTAGTTATCACGTTTGAAGTGTAGTGAATTATAAACTTTTAAACCAAGTATTTCAGAATCAGAAGTTCCTTTTTTTCTTTATTTGTGAAAATATGTTTTATTTTTCCTTATTTTGAATATTGAGGGTTTACTATAAGACAAGGTGCTAAATCCTTACAGGATTATTAGGCATAAAATATATCTATTATACCATTTAAAAAAACTTTTATTTTCAAATAATTGTAGACTCTTAGGAAGTTGCAAAAATAGTACTGAGAGGACCTGTGTACCCGTCACTCAGCTTTCCCCAATGGTGACATCTTATGAAACTGCAGTGGTTTATTAAACCCTGGAAATTAATTGATATAGTACAACTCACTGGACCATATACTTTACTTGGATTTCACTAGTTTTTGCATGCATGTATTTTTTTGTTTGTGTATAATTCTATGACATTTTTATCACATATATATTTTATTACCACCACTATAATGAATATGCAAAATTGTTCTACAATTGCAAAAGAACTCTCTTGTGCTTCCCATTTACAGTTATCTCTTCCCTCCTCCTACTCTCACTTCTGGTATCACTTATTTATTCTACAACTCTAGTTTTGTTATGTTGAGAATATGATATAAATACAACCACACAGTACCCATTCTGGACATTTATCCTAGAGAAATAAAAACTTATGTGCACATAAAAACCTATACACGAATTTTCATAGCAGCTCTATTTGTAATAGCCCCATACTGGAAATGTCCCAAATGTCCTTCAGAGAATGAATGGATAAACAAACTGATACATCCATACAATGGAGTACTACCCATCAGTAAAAAGGAAAGAACTCTTGATATATGCAACAACTTGGATGGACTCAAGGGTATTATGCTGAGTGAGTCAATCTCGAAAGGCTAATTATGTTATAAATAGATAGTAAAATCTTTATTTAATTATCAGAATATTAAAACAGAAATAAAATGAAGATGTGGTCTTTACAGAGAATTTTGGACCAGTACACTTTAAAGGTAAGTTGCTTTAAATTCCTAAGTATACTGCTTCAATGTAAAAATAAAGTATAAAGCTGTTAACTTGAAAGCTCAGGAAAATGTGACCAAGCTCAAATAAAGTTTAGTAAATCTTTTTAATTCATAGCCTGATTCTCTTTTTCATATTTAGAAGATAAAAAGTAGATTTAAAGGGATTGAAAGAGGAAAAGGAAAAAAAAATAGGAAGACAGAATAATAGAGTTTTGAGATTTTATGTATTATATAATTTTTTATAGCATTCAAGTTTTTGTTGCAAATTTGGTTAGAATTTAATTATTTTCATTTAAAAACTACAGTATACTTGTTTTGTAAGGAGTGAAGAAAGGAGGTGGGAAAAAATTAGAATAAATCCTACCTATATTCTCCAGTAAGAGAATAATGATGTCAAATTGTTTTATATTTATATTTTATATTTAGTCTTGTAATGTGAATTTTTCTTTTATAGATTTTGGACTTAAACTGGCTGAGGAGGAAGGAATAGTTAGAATAAATGTTAACTTATAAACAAGGGACAGAAGGCTTGTAACAGGAAGAAAATGTTATATATATATATATATATATATATATATGCACATATATATGCATTCATTATTGTATATGTCTTCAAAGAAATCTTTATGACATCTTAAGGAAAATAGATTCAATTGTTAAAAATATATATATGCACATATTAGATTTAATTGTTAAAATATATATATATATATATGCACAATTCAATCTATTTTCCTCAAGATGCCATAAAATTTCTTTGAAGAAATATACAATAATGAATATTAGGTAATTGACACTATTTTATAATTATAGCCTAATTCAAAGTTTTTAAATGAGTAATAAATTTATGAATTTAACCTCAGAACATCCCAATCAGGTTGGTTAAAGTGTGACCATTCATAGTAAATATTCTAATAATGTTTTTTCATTATTTCCTTTAACTTATTTTCTTTTTATTATTTCCTTCTCTTTTTCTTCCTTTCTTTTTTAATTTTTGTGTGTCTTTCTTCCGTCTTCCTCTCCTTTTCCTCTTACTTTTCCTATCTTCTTCCTCCCATTTTGAATACTACAGTCAAAAGTACCAGAGACAGGCAATATCTTTCTTTTGACCTGTCTACTTTAAAAATCCTCTAGATGTAAAGAATACACTTAATGTTTAACAGGTTAGCTGGAATGGCAGTGGACTATAGAGAGGTTCATTGGTATGACTATGCTTTGAGCCTAATTGACTTCATACCAAGATTATGATTGTATAAAATAAGATTGGTAGAATGAGAATAAGTACCCTGAAAATATCTGCATACATGTCAATATATTATTTATATTGTTTTTATGTCTTACTCTTTTGGAACACCCCACCTTATAGTCTATATAAAATTAACCATGTAATATGAGTTGCCTGGTTTAGAAAATAATATTTACTCATAATATCCCACTAAAAACCATAAATTGAACACACAATTGATTTGAACTCTCTGTAGTTGCTATAATGTGTTTTCTGAGGGACATAATGTAGGGTAATTTATATAAAGAGAATGGAGAAAAAATATACAGTGTCAGAAATTTATATCACACAGTACTTGAACTAGATATTTAAGAGAAAATGTATACACTAAAATAGTTTTAATAATTTTTATGGTTATCTGCAAATTAGTCACTGAGATTACTTTTACTCATAGTAAATACTTATTATTGTTTTCTAGGCAGGCTTTTAAATTTTAAAATCATAGAATCATTTAAGGTTACAAAGATATACCGCCCTCCCTCCCCAAAAGGAGCCTTTTTGTAGCTGAACTCTGCATTTTGTTTTTAAAATAGTGGGTTGGAGAAATCACTAATTAACATATGTTTTATTTAATCTTGTAGCTAAGTCTTATTATCATAAAAGTTTTTTTTTTTTTTGGTCAATTGATTGCTGAGCAAATTCTAGTGTTAAATGTCAGTTTTGTCAGGAAAAAAAAAAACAGCAGAGGACTTCTATGGAGTGGTATAAATCTCTGAAAGGTAATGGAGGATAAGAAAATTCTCTTCCCTTTCTCCTCCTCTGTGGAATGGCCAAAGAAACCAGTGTTCTTCTCTGCAAGGTATGTTGTTATATTCAGCTGAACTGACCTTGAAGATTAGCTTTTACTATATTTCATCTTTGAAATGGAATGTGCAAGAGTTTAAAAGTCTCAAAATGTAGAGAAAGAAACTAATAATAGTACATTGAAAAAATTTATTATGTTAAAAATCATAATTCATTCAAGTTATTATACAAAGATAAATGAAAATATTAAACATGGTTAGAAAATTAGTTTTGAGGGATGATAAAATTATTAATGTTGGTATTTTATTTTAAGAGCAATGTAGGGCTACAACTTTTTTTTATCACTTATAGAATTAAGATATAATTTACATACAGTAAAACTCATTCTTCAGATCCTTGTGGTGATGGAACTATTCTGTATCATGGCAACATCCTTGTCGGTATTGTGGCTGTGATATTTTAATATAAGTTTTGTAAGATGTTACCATGGGGGGGGAAACTGGGTAAAAGGTAAATAGGATCTCTTGTAGTATTTCACATAACTGCATGTGAGTTTGTAATTGTCTCAAAATATAAAGTTTAATTTAAAAAAATCACTTTCTCATCTATAGTTCTGCAAACTTTGACAAATACATTTAGTTGTATTCCCACCGTCAACATCAAAATTATGTAAGTGAGGAATCACTAAATTCTATATCGAAAACCAGTTTTACCATATATATTGACTAACTAGAATTTATATAAAAACTTGAAATAAAAAAGAGGTATAATACAATTCTACCACTCTCCACAATTTCTGCATAAGTCCTTTTTACCTTCCTTTTTACCCTATCTAAACATCCATCTGCTTTCTGTCCCTACAGTTTCACCTTTTCCACAATGTAATGTACACAGAGGCATATAGTAAATAGCCTTTTGAGTCTGACTTCATTTACTTAATAAAGTGCATTTGAGATTAATCTATATTTTGTGTGTATCAGTTTATTTTTTATTGCTGAATAGTGTTCCATTTTATGATGATACCATGGTTTGCTTGTCTAATCCCCAATTAAGGGGTATTTGGGTTGTTTCCAGTTTGAAAGTGATAAATAAAGCCACTGTAAATATTCATGTGCAGGTTTTATATGAATATAAATTTTTATTTCATTTGAGTAAATACCAAAGGAGTGGGATTGCTTGGTTATACGGTAAGTGTATTGTTAACTTAGTGAGAAACCTCCAAACTGTTTTCCAAGTGGTTGTACCATTTTGTATACCCATCAGCAACATAGGAGAGCTCTACTTGCTCTATCTACATCCTTGCCATTACTTGGTATTGTCAGTATTTTTATTTTAGCTCTACTAATAGGCATGTAGTAGTATCTCATTGGGGTTTTAATTTGAATGTCCCTGATAACTAACAACAGTGAGCATCTTTTTATGCATTTATTTTTCTGGAGAAATGTCTGTTCAGATATTTTGCCCATTTAAAAAATGTGTATTATTTTCTTCTTATTGAATTTTGAATTTTTAAATATACTCTGAATACAAGAGCTATATCAGGTATGCAGTTTGCAAACATTTTCTCCAGTCTGTAGCTTCTTTTTTCTTCTCTGAACAGTATTTTTTGAAGAGCAGCTTTGATTCTGATAAAGTCCATTTATCAACATTTTTCTTTCATGAATTATATTTTGATGTTGTATCTTAGAAATCATTGCCTAACAAAACATCACAAAGATTTTCTTTTTATTCTTTTGAAAATTTTAGTTTTATGTTTTACATTTAGTTCTGTGGTTCATGTTTAGTTAATTTTTTATGGTATGAGGATGTTTTTTGTATATTAATCCTATTGTTCTGTCACCATTTGTTGTTAAGAACTTTCTTCATGGAATTGCTTTTACACCTTTCTCAGGAATCAATTGACAATATATAGCAAGTTCTAATACAGCACATGTGCACATGTGATCTTTTAAAAAATCACTTCACTGTGAATAATTACATATAATAAAAAGCACAGGACTTATGGGAGAAATGGGGTTAGGGATTTAACACTCAAATATATAACCAGTGCACACTAAAGAAAAGAAGTTGATAAAAATGACAACATTGTTTTACATATTCTAAATGTTTAAGAATATGTAAATACTACAATAAAAAGGTACCTTACCTTGAAAAAATCCTGATATTTGCCTGTAGAATTGTTGTCAGAAAGGTTGCAGTATGTTGGTTATTGTGAAGTGGTAGAAGATAGATTATGTGGAATTGGGAGGAAGATTGTAACACTACAGGTGGGCAGGAGTAGCTCATAATATACATAATGAGCTGAAATCTGGCAGATGTTTGGGGTATGTGCATGTATCTATCATTACTTGGCTTGGTTCAACTAGGTGCATTTTTTTAAGTATTTATTTTTGAGATGGGGTGAGGGGTAGAGCGAGGGCTACAGAGGATCTAAAGCAGGCTCTGTGCTGACAGCAGAGAGCCCTATGTGGGTCTCTAACTCATCAACTGAGATCACAAACTGAACCAAAGTCAGACACTTAACTGACTGAGCCACCCAGGCACCCCCAGCTAGGTTCAGTTTTATAGTGTCTCACCTAGTGTTTCTTATAGACAAAATTGCATATAAACCACACATTAAGTCAAACCCATTTGAAATTTGTGTTATGCTTAAATTGTTTTCTAATATATCAATCACGTTGGAGTAAATTTGCATTTTCAAAATTTGCATATCAAAACAAGCATTATAGCAGAACTGTATGTGTTAGTCTATTCTTGGGCACTGTCCTTTTGCATTGATATATACACATGTAGCCTTTCTCCAATGCCACGCTTTCTTGATTACTGTAGCTTTATCATAAGTTTTGAAGTGAGTTTGTGTAAGTCCTTCATTGGTTTTCTTCATCAAAATTATTTTGGCTATTCTATTTTCTTGAGTCTTTTTTATAAATTTTAAGTTTAGTTTTCTTTTGTTTTTACAAAATAAATCTTACTGGGACTTTTATTAAAGTTTCATTGACACTGTAGATCAGTTTTTTGGGACTTGATATCTTTAACAACATTGAATCTTCCAAACCATGCATACAATATGTCTCTCCACTTATTTAGATCTACTTTGATTTCTTTCATAGGTGTTTCTAGTTTTTAGCATGCAGGTCTTACATCTGCTTTGTATATTTATGCCTCTGGATTTCATGCAGGTTTTTTTTTTTTGGTGGTATTATAAATGGTACTTTTTACATTTCAACTTCCAATTTTCACTGCTAGCACATAGGGATGATTGGTTTTTATATATTGGTACCTTTAGCTCTTTGAAAGCCTTAAACAAAAACGGAAGCTCAAAAGCATAATTTGCTTTTTTAGTGTTTTAAAAAGTGTCTCTTTTGTGTCTTAGTCTATTTTAAAACTTAGAACACTATGACAGCTTTGATGATTTAATTGTTGACCTCTCAAAATTGCTGAATGATATACTAATATAAATATGAAAACATGTATTTTGAGGATGGAATTTAACTGAGCAATCTCTAAATGCTCTTAAAACGTTATCATGAAATACAGGCTGTTTTCCATTATTTGTCTCACCGGAGCTTTCTTAAGAGTAATTATAGCCCATCCATGAATCGTTTTAAGTTCTAACACATAGTTTTGTTTCCTTTGGTAGTTTCTATTTGCTGAGTATCTTCAGATATATTTTTCTGTCACATTGTTATCATAGATTTTGGACTCAGCAAGGAATCTGTAGATCAAGAAAAGAAGGCTTACTCATTTTGTGGTACAGTGGAGTACATGGCTCCTGAAGTAGTAAATAGGAGAGGCCACTCCCAAAGTGCTGATTGGTGGTCATATGGTGTACTTATGGTAAGTAGTGTTATTTTTAAATTGTGCCAATATAAAATTAATATTATTTAGAATTTTGTTTTAAATTTTGGAATGTGTCAGGTGAGAATAGAGTTTTGATAATTCATGATTATTTAAAAAAAACCTTCTGATTGGCTAGCTGTTATAAAGGAAGAATTACGATTTTGGTACTCTGATTTATTTTAAAGTTTCTAGATGAAAAGGTAAATGGTAGCATTCTTTTATAAGCTATTCAAATTTGAAACTTAGAAAAAGGCTTACCAGATTTTAGATTTCAGAATACTGTGTTTAATTTTTTTAACGTGTATTTATTTCGGAGAGAGAGAGAGAGAGAGAGAGAGAGCGAGCGAGCATGAGCAGGGGAGAGGCAGAGAGAGAGAGAGAGAGAGACCCAGAATCTGAAGCAGGTTCCAGGCTCTGAGCTGTCAGCACAGAACCCGATGCAGGGCTCAAACTCACGAACTGTGAGATCATGACCTGAGCCAAAGTCGGATGCTTAACTGAATGAGCCACCCAGGCACCCCCAGGTTACTTTGTTTAAATGTCACATGGGGGGGGGGTTGCCTGGGTGGCTCAGTCAGTTAAGTGCTCGACACTTGATTTCAGCTCAAGTCATGATCTCGCAGTTCATGGGTTTGAACCCCACATCAGTCTCCACACTGATGGTGCAGAGCCTGCCTGGAATTCTCTCTCCCTCTCTCTCTTTGCCCCTTTCCAGCTCTTTCTCAAAAATAATAAACTTAAAAAAATACCATATGCTATTTTAGTTGGGTATCACAGAATTTAGCACCTTACCATAAACTTATTGTCAAATTGTTTCATGCATGTCCCTAGAAAGACTAAACTTTTTGTGGAGAGCAGTCATGTCTCATGCTACTTATCATCTGTCATGGTACCTAGCATAGCAGGCATACAAACTGACTAATTTGGTATAAATTAAGAGTATATTTTCAGTATCAAGCAGGGCACTAAGTGAATAGCTATTGAATCAATTTGTTTGTGTAATCCATCTTGCTGATAATCCATTTTGCCTATTTATTACTTTATAACATACTATATGACACTTCAATATATTAGGGCCTATTATAAACCTGACATTTGTGTAGGATAGTGGGGTAGCAACAAACAGAAGATATAATTTTGACATTTTCCGTGACCAAAGAATGCATACAATCTGTTTAGGGAAACAGTTGAAATAGCTAAATGAACCATCCAAAAATATACCTTAGGAATTCAGGCAAGAAATCATATAAGTTGATGTAGGAAAAGTGGAGGAGGTGGAGCTTAGATTAATCCCGGAAGGGTAGAAAAATTTAAATAGCTGCAAATCAAGAAGGATCATATTAGTAGCAAAGACCTAGAGAACTAGTTTGAGTAGAATAGTAGTAGAGAATGAGGGTGACGGTGGAGGAAATGAGACTATATGCCAATAAGCATTTGCATGCAGTACTCTGAGTAGTAGGAAACTTTTGTAGATTCTTTTTTTAATGTTTATTAATTTTTCATCTTTATTAATTTTGAGAGGGTGGGGACAGAGAGAGAGAGAGAGAGAGAGAGAGAGAGAGAATGAATCCCAAGCAAGGATCTCATGAAATGTGAGATCATGACCTGAGCCAATATCAATAGTCAGATGCTTAACTGACACGAGCCACCCAGACACCCCAGATTTTGTAGTTCTTTAACAAGATAGTAATTAGAGAAAAATGTATTTAAAGAAGATTGGCCTTGACAGCATTGTATAAATGGATTGTAAATAGAGGAAACTGGAAGTAGGGAGACCAACAAGGTCTCCTTACAAGACAGTTGTAACATTATAGAATATAAAAGATGAAATCTTAAATATATGTCAAAGGAAGAAGTGTCTGATCTTAATAGCTGATTTAATGTCACAGATGGAGAGGGTTAAGGTCAAAGATAAAAACACCTCTAAAATTTATGAACTTTAGGGAGTTTGAAAAGAATGATATTTCAGCAGAAAAGACATACCTGGAAAGGGCAGCTGGTTTTGGAAGTGGAGAAATAGTTTATTTATAACATGTTGCATAGGTTATTACAGGTTTGTGGTTAAACCCTTGGTGGTAATAAATTAGGAGGGAACAGTGGAGACAGGATCAGAATCATCTGGAGACCTTTAAAAATACTACTCAGTCAGCCAACATGCAATTTAATTCAGGGGGAGGTGGATTCCAGTATAATATGCTCCCTCTTTTTGTCCTTGCCATTACCACCTCTGCTACTCTGGTCACCAATAGAGAACAATAACTTTAAATTTGGAAGCAGAGGACTGGAGCTTGAGAGAGACGATCCCCATATACCATACTTTCTTTGTCTTCTTTCTCTTTCTGTGGCCCCTGCCCCTACTTCTTCAACATCCAGTTAAGAAACATTACTGTAGATTTGGGAGGGAGAACTAGGACTTGAGAGAGATTGAGGCTGGAACAGATTTGAAAGTCATCAATATATAGGAAAGGGTTGAATTAATAATCTAACTAAGGTTATGAATTCAGATAAATGAGCAGAGGACTGAAGTCAACGTCATTACTGAATCTAAGTTCAAGATTTAAATATTAGAGATATGGAAACTTTTTTTTTATTGAAGTATAATGATCTTCATTTTCAAAACTAGTTTTTTACACCATTATTTAATGTTCTAGTAATATACATAGCAATTAAATATCTTAGGGAAAATGTTTATTTTTATGCCATGCACAGCTTTCTTATTTTTTTAAGATACTGGTGTACATGTGTAGCTTTCTTGTTCTTTTTTTTATTGCTTTTTGGAGTGAGGAGAATGAGAATGGTTACATCTTTCTTTCTTTTTTTTAATTTCCCTAATGACCAATGATGTTAAGCATCTTTTCATGTGCTTATTGGCCTTTTGTGTATCTTCTTTTTTAAGGTTTTATTTAAATTCCAGGGGTACCTGGCTGGCTCAGTAGGTTGATCATCCAACTTCAGCTCAGGTCACGACCTCACGGTTCATGAGTTCAAGCCCCGCGACAGGTTCTGTGCTGACATCTCAGAGCCTGGAGCCTGCTTCGGATTCTGTGTCTCCCTCTCTCTCTGCACCCCCCCCCCCCCACTCATGCTCTCTCTCTCTCTCTCTCTCTCTCTCAAAAATAAATAAACATTAAATTCCAGATAGTTAATATAGAGTGTAATATTAGTTTCAGGTGTACAAAGCACTTATGAATTTGAAATGGTTCCCTGCTTAGTTTTACTTTCCATTCTTTGTTAAATGTTTGCTTTAAGAGCATATCTTTGGTTTAAAAGAAAATGCTGTCGGGGCGCCTGGGTGGTGCAGTCGGTTAAGCGTCCGACTTCAGCCAGGTCACGATCTCGAGGTCGGGGAGTTCGTGCCCCGCGTCAGGCTCTGGGCTGATGGCTCAGAGCCTGGAGCCTGTTTGCGATTCTGTGTCTCCCTCTCTCTCTGCCCCTCCCCCATTCATGCTCTGTCTCTCTCTGTCCCAAATATAAATAAACGTTCAAAAAAAAAAAAAAAGAATATTTAAAAGAAAATGCTGTCTATCTATTTTCAAATTGCTTTGGTTTGGGAACCCAGCCAGATTAGATAGGACTGAAAAAAAAAAAAAAAAACTGGTTGGTTTCATTTGCTACAGGTCACCTATCAGTTGGGCTATATATAGTGAGGTACCAGCAGTGCATTTCCTTAATTGACTTACTTTTCTGTTCCTATTTTGACCTATCGTATAGATCCTTAATCATTTGATGATCATGTATTACAAGTCTCAGTAGTTTTCCTAAAAAATTTTATCATATATTCTAAGCTCTGGCAAATTATGTGTTACTTTTTGTTTGTTTTAGTTTGAAATGCTTACTGGTACTCTGCCATTTCAAGGTAAAGACAGAAATGAGACCATGAATATGATATTAAAGTAAGTGTAAACAGTTATTTTTTTTTCTTTTGGGAAAAATTCCTTGTTTTCAGTTTCTTGAAACTTGTTTTCAATTGACACAAAAGAACACTTTTTCACACTGTCTTATTTTCTTCTCCTACCATATAAGGGACACTATTTTTCATTGTTAAAACATTCTTTTAAGTTCTTTTTGAGATTTGTCAATATAAAGTATGTCTAGATTTAAATGAAATTTTCTAAAACTCTTTTTCAGAGCAAAACTCGGAATGCCTCAGTTTCTTAGTGCTGAAGCACAAAGTCTACTAAGGATGTTATTCAAAAGAAATCCAGCAAATAGATTGGGTATTATTTATTGCCTTAACTTTTACAACAATACACTGCCTGTTTTGGGAGGATCATTGTACCTTTATGTTTTCTGGCCTAGTTCATTTACTGCTGCTGTATATTTATACCTAGGAGTTTGCATTTTGTAAGCACATAGATCCAGTAAACTCTGTTTTGTCCATGATTTAACAATAGTCTAGCTATTCAGAACTTCCGTTTAATATATGTCATTATGTATATCATACGGATTACTTCTTTTGAAATAATTCACAGAATTCTACCTTATATAGGTAATCTTTTTAGATATTTGAAGGTAAGTATTTTGTCCCTTCAAGTATTCTTTGAGATAAATATGTTTCCATAGCCACTCATTATTTGGCCACTTTCTGATAGCCTTTCCCTGGATCCAAATGTGATTATATTATTTAATTTTTGTGTTAAAATTTTAATATCACTTTATCATATTGCACTTTGTAATTTGTCTTTGAGATACTAAGCCATAAGTTTAATTGTGATATATATATATATATATATATATATACACACACACACATATATATACATATATATATATATTTTAGTGATATGTTAAACATTATTTTTATTTGATTTAGAAGGAATTTCATTATTTCATCATACTTTATATGCTTCAGTGTGAGCATCAGTTATGTTTTATTATATTAAATTGAAAAAAAACCCCAAAATATCAAATAAGAAATAATAAACATTTCACTGCAAGGAGTATATGAAAGATGTATTCGTTTGTACAGATAACAGCAGAGAAGCCAGGTAGAAAGATTAAAAATAATTATACCAGTAAAAAATTATTTCCTTTTTTATAGGTTCAGAAGGAGTTGAGGAAATCAAAAGACATCTTTTTTTTGCAAATGTTGACTGGAATGTAAGTTCAGTTGTAACTTCAGTAGAAACTTTGTCACTGAGTGACTTAATATGAATTAACACTGAAGAATAAAATGCTCATATTTGGGCTTTGCTGATAAACTTAATCCTTTTTTTTTTTTTTTTTGATATGAGGTTTGTACTTAGAGGCGTAGATGTCATGGCAATTACCTTGAACCAGTAGGTGTGTGGATGATATTTACTAAATTTTTGTCTCTCATATGTTTTACCTGTTAAGTGTGGTTACTATTTTCCCCTGTTCTAGGTTGGGGAATGTGAAGGAGGAAGAGAAAGAGGTGAGGAGGTGAATGATAAGGCAAATTCTTAAAGAAAATGAATTCTAATTCATTTCTCTTCCTCCTTCATACTCCCCAATCTAAATGTGGTAGACAAGCACACTTAACAGGTAAAAAGTCTCTGCACAGTGAAGGAAACAATCAACAAAACTAAAAGGCAATCAACAGAATTGTGGAAGATATTTGTAAATGACATATCTGATAAAGGGCTAATATCCAAAGTCTATAAAGAACTTGTAAAACTCAACACCCAAAAAAATGAATAATCCAAATAAAAGTGTGCAGAAGACATGAATAGACATTTTTTCAAAGACATCCAGATGGCCAACAGACACATAAAAAGATAATCAACTTCACTCATCATCAGGGAAATACAAATCAAAACTACAGTGAGATTTCACCTCATGCAAGTCAGAATGGCTAAAATTAACAACCCAGGAAACAACAGATTTGGAGAAAGGGGAACCTTCTTATATTGTTGGTGGGAATGCAAATTGGTGCAGCCACTCTGGGAAAACAGTATGGAGGTTCCTCACATAAAGGTGCAACTACCCTACCATCCAGAAATTCTACTACTAGGAATTTGCCCAAAGGATAAAAAAAAGAAGGGATAAATGCACCCCAATGTTTACAACAGTATTATTAGCAATAGCCAAAGTATGGAAGGAACACAAATGTTCATACTGAAGAATATAAAAAGAAGTAGTATATATATAGAATAGAATATTACTCAGCCATTAAAAACTAATGAAGTCTTGCCATTTGCAATGACATGGATGTAGCTAGAGTGTACTATGCTAAGCAAAATAAGTCAGTCAGAGAAAGATCCCATATGATATCACTCATATGTGGAATTTAAGAAACAAAACAGATGAACATACGGGGAAGAAAAGGCAAACCAAGAAAGAGACTCTTAACTCTAGAGAACAAAATGATAGTGGATGGGGGAATGGGTTAAACAGGTGATGGGCATTAAGGAGGGCACCTGTTATGATGAGCACGGGGGGTGGTATGTAAGTGATGAATCACTAAATTATATACCTGAAATTAATATTGCACTGTATGTTAACTAGCTGGAATTTAAACAAAAACTTGGAAAAAGTGACTTATTTTTTATAATTGTAAAACTGCATAACAGAAGCCATTAGTATTAATACCCTAAAAGACCACTCAATGGGCACGCTACATGGGAGTCTGCCCTGTTATATGTATGTGCTTCTTTCCCTGGTGTCCTTTTATCCCCGTGTCACTTTTTTTTCCTTTTTTCTTTTAAAATTTTTTTTCAACATTTATTTATTTTTGGGACAGAGAGAGACAGAGCATGAACGGGGGAGGGGCAGAGAGAGAGGGAGACACAGAACTGGAAACAGGCTCCAGGCTCTGAGCCATTAGCCCAGAGCCCGACGCGGGGCTCAAACTCACGGACCGCGAGATCGTGACCTGGCTGAAGTCGGACGCTTAACCGACTGCGCCACCCAGGCGCCCCTCCTTTTTTCTTTTAAACATAATTTATTGTCAGATTGTTTTCCATAAAACACCCAGTGATCATCCCAGCAGGTGCCCTGCTCAATGCCCATCACCCACTTTCCCCTCTCCCCCACCCCCCCACCAACCCTCAGCTTGTTCTCAGTATTTAAGTCTTTTATGGTTTGCCTTCCTCCCTCTCTGTAACTTCCCCCCTTCCCCCTCCCCCATGGTTCTCTGTTAAGTTTCTCAGGATCCACATATGAGTGAAAACATATGGTAACTGTATTTCTTTGCCTGACTTATTTCACTTAGCATAATACTCTCCAGTTCCATCCACATTGCTACAAATGGCCAGATTTAATTCTTTCTCATTTCCAAGTAGTACTCCATTGTATATATAAACCACATCTTCTTTATCCATTCATCCGTTGATGGACATTTAGGCTCTTTCCATAATTTGGCTATTGTTGAAAGTGCCACTTTAAACATTGGGGTACAAGTGCCCCTATGCATCAGCACTCCTCTATCCCTTGGGTAAATTCCTAGCAGTGCTATTGCTGGGTCATAGGGTAGATCTATTTTTAATTTTTTGAGGAACCTCCACACTGTTTTCCAGAGTGGCTGCACCAGTTTGCATTCCCACCAGCAGTGCAAGAGGATTCCTGTTTCTCCACATCCTCTCCAACATCTATAGTCTCCTGATTTGTTCATTTTAGCCACCCTGACTGGCATGATGTGGTATCTCAGTGTGGTTTTGATTTGTATTTCCCTGATGAGGAGTGACGTTGAACATCTTTTCATGTGTCTTTTGGCCATCTGGGTGTCTTCTTTAGAAAAGTGTCTATTCATGTCTTCTGCCCATTTCTTCACTGGTTTATTATTTTTTTTCTAATGCATATCTACTCTTCCTTTCTTCTTAAGTATACAAACTGCAAATTCCTTTTTTTTTCATCATTCTCATATCTAAACAGTTTATGTCCATTGTGTTTAATTTAAATAACAAAAGAATATAATGTTTATTTATTTAAATAAATGAAAATCAAAGTAATTCTCTATTAATATTCCCCCACTGTGGGTCTGTAACCTTTTAAAAAACTTGCTTTCAAAAAAATGGGAGTAGATTGTATACATTTTAAGATGTTTTAAATGTGTTTCAAAAACATAAATTTTAGGAATTTAAATTTTGGACAAGATTACATTTTTGAATTATATAAGAAGAGTCATAAACAGTGTATTTAATGCATTTTTAATGTAAAAACAAAATATTTTAGGTGAAATATATACTTCTTGAAGATAGTCTACTAATTTTGAAATTCTTGAATGGTGCTAGGTGTTTCTGCATGGTCACATTGTGGTATATTCTGTATGGTTATTTTACTAATGCAAATTCAAGTCAGTTTTTGATATCAAAATTGAATATCATCCTTGTGAATACAACCTTTGGCATCAGTGCTGTGTTTCCTGGTCTTGTTTCATTGTGTATATTATCTCTCAAATGTTGACAATTTGGTTAATGTGTATCTGAAGCCTGTTAAAATTTTATTTATTAAATTGTGAGCTTCTGTTAAAGACTGTGAATGTTATGTTATGCTTTCCCTTACAAAATATAATTTGAGTGTTAATATGATTTTGCACTACCCTGTTGTTTCTTCTAGAAATTATATAGAAGAGAAGTTCAACCTCCTTTCAAACCGGCTTCTGGAAAACCAGATGATACTTTTTGTTTTGATCCTGAGTTTACTGCAAAAACACCTAAAGGTAATGCATATTTGTTTATATGTAACATCGGGTCTTTCATTCAATTAGATGGTTAAAAAATAAACTAGCTTCTTAGGTAAAAACTAAATGATTTTTAAGTTTGCAGATAATTGATTGCCCTTTATGAAAGTGCAGAACTTATATACATCATTGTTGCTCATCTTTCAAACAGAGGATTTAAATAGGAAATATTTATCAGGGAAGCAGGGGCTAGAGCAAAGGGTAAATTTTTTTTCTTCCTTCTTTTAAATGTCCTTTCACATGCTAATGAATTATAGGTTAAGGGGTAGGAGGTAAGACATGACATATATAACGGACTCATAAAATTTATAATTTAACAAGTTCTACTTATAGTAGCATGTATTTCACACGTTCATCCAGCAAATATTGAATGCCAACAAATATTGAAGGTACTAAGCAGTGAAGATGTAGCAGTGAACAGGGAGGCAACAATTACAGTCCATGGGGCTTGCATACTAGCATGAGGAGACAAATAATATACGATTAATCAAACACATGATATACTATGTCTGATGGTAGCATTTAATGGTTTCTTTTATATTTAAAGAAATGCTAACATTTCATATCACATAATTCTGTGTAGTTCTAATTACATAACATTATTTGGATATTAGATTCTCCTGGTTTACCAGCTAGTGCTAATGCTCATCAACTCTTCAAAGGATTCAGCTTTGTGGCAACTTCTATTGCAGAAGAATATAAAATCACTCCTGTTACAAGTGCAAATGTGTTACCAATTGTTCAGGTAAATTCCACCTAATCAGATTATTCAGTGTAGGGATAACTATTTCTTTCAGTTATTGCTAATGGATTTACAGTAATTTTTAAGTGATTTTTAACTTCTAAATTTGTCTCTATGTATAATATGATTTAAAGGTGTCACAATATGTTTTGGAAAAAAAGCAGACAGTAATTAACCTTTAATTATATTTACGTAATCTCCTCTGGCAAGAAAAGTGTAATGGCAGTGTATAAGCTGGTTGATTTATTGTATTGGCTTTGGGGATCTAGAAAACCTAAAATTTAGCATCAGCTCAGAATCTCTTTAAACTTTTTACAAATACTGATAAAACTTCTCTAAAATATTTTTAAAATATTTAAGATTAATGCATATTTAGGAAAGAAGATAAAAAAAGTGAACATATTTCATTCTCCTTAGTATCTTACTTTTAAAAAAAACAGATAAATGGAAATTCTGGACAATTTGCTGAATTATATGAACTAAAAGAAGATATTGGTGTTGGCTCCTATTCTGTTTGCAAGCGATGCATACATAGAGCTACGAACATGGAATTTGCAGTGAAGGTATTATCTGAGTCTAACTCTTTTGTTTGTTTATATATATATAAATTAAAGGTTAACTGACAGACATTTTTCAGTGAAGCAAGTGGAGATAGCAAAGATAAAATAATGAGGAAAAGTCTTAAGACTTAATATTTTCATTTGCATTTCTAAAACTTTATTTTGGAGGAATGGTGTATTTCATGAATGTCTTGTTTTAGTTTTATTTTAATATAATATGTTAAAATTGTTCAATTGTGACAATTACTGTCACATTTGAATCACATTATCAGTTGGTATAGTTTCAGTTATCTGGAATATAGGAAAGTGTTAAGGAAGGTGTATTTTTTATTGTTAAGTTTCATTATAGGAAATTTTTAAATGTTAAAATAATGCGAAGCAGGCATCATTCTTGAGTTTTAAGTGTTTGCTTAAAATATGACCAAATTAAAATATTTCATTCACTTTTAGGTAAAGAAAATAATTTGGTTTTCTCTGAGATTTTTCTTGACTTATTTCTTAGATCATTGACAAAAGTAAGAGAGACCCTTCAGAAGAAATTGAAATATTGATGCGCTATGGACAACACCCCAACATTATTACTTTAAAGGATGTAGGTATCTAAAATCTATATATCAGATAATAAGATAATGAAGTTATGACTTGGTACTTTATTTTCTTTTTGAAACTTTTCCTGTTTATGGTATATTCTACTTTTATGCCACAAAATCTCAAAATTCTTAAATTTGCCACTTCAGTTCTTTTTCCCCCCTGTGATTCTATACTCCTACCCTTCTTATACAACATCAAAAAGGAACTATGATGATAGGTGAATGAGAGTGTCCTGATTACTTGAATATATTCTAGCTCATTAACTAGTCAACATTATAGCCAGCACCATTTATTATCCTATAGTACTATAAATATAGAAGATATAGGAGATTGGGAAACTGCCAAATTCTAAAATATTTTACTTTCTTGGTTATACAGTAAATAGCTATAACATTATGGATTGTTTCTTGAGTGAAATAGTATTATGCATTTTGATTTGTAATCTTTAAGCAGTAGTTTGTTATACACACACACACACACACACACACACACACACACACACCATATACACTAACAACCCACATGCCCTAGTGAAAGGGTACATGTATTTCTCTTATTTATTTTCCTTGATATACTAGTTGAATTCAATAAATATTTAAGACACCATATCAGGAGGTTCCTTAGAAACTTAAAAATAAACCTACCCTATGACCCAGCACTGCTAGGAATTTATCCAAGGGATACAGGAGTACTGATGCATAGGGGCACTTGTACCCCGATGTTCATAGCAGCACTCTCAACAATAGCCAAATTATGGAAAGAGCCTAAATGTCCATCAACTGATGAATGGATAAAGAAATTGTGGTTTATATACACAATGGAATACTACGTGGCAATGAGAAAAAATGAAATATGGCCTTTTGTAGCAACGTGAATGGAACTGCAGAGTGTGATGCTAAGTGAAATAAGCCATACAGAGAAAGACAGATACCATATGGTTTCACTCTTATGTGGATCCTAAGAAACTTAACAGAAACCCATGGGGGAAGGGAAGGAAAAAAAAAACAAAAAAAGAGGTTAGAGTGGGAGAGAGCCAAAACATAAGAGACTGTTGAGAACTGAGAACAAACTGAGGGTTGATGGGGGGTGGGAGGGAGGGGAGGGTGGTGATGGGTATTGAGGAGGGCACCTTTTGGGATGAGCACTGGGTGTTGTATGGAAACCAATTTGACAATAAATTTCATATATAAAAAAAATAAAATAAAATAAAATAAAATAAAATAAAATAAAATAAAATAAAATAAAATAAAAAATAAAAAAATAAGACACCATATCAGATAATGGACTTTGGGAATGATATTTAAAAACAATGTTTACTGCCAGAAGGGAGCTTATTGTTAGTAGGGAACAGAAGTGGCTATAATATAGTCAAAAATAAGATAGATTCCATTTTAGAGGCACAGATTCCTATTGTTCCATTTATATAATTTGATGAAGTACAATTTACAACTTCAAAAGTTAATAAAATTATATGTTTTACATATCTCAAGATTTGGAGGTTGTTTATCCAGTTTAATCTTCAGTGTAGTCTGTACTATATTAACAGTAAAGGGATAATGTCCTTTTTGACCACTAGAGGTTCACTAGAAAAGGAAAGTAAATATAATTTTAACATTTAAGAATTATAATTAAAAATAACATTAATTTTTTTTTTTTTTTAGGTTTATGATGATGGTAGATATGTTTACCTTGTTACGGATTTGATGAAAGGAGGAGAACTACTTGACCGTATTCTCAAAAAAAAGTGTTTCTCAGAACGGGAAGCTAGTGATGTACTGTTTGTAATAATTAAGACAGTTGACTATCTTCATTGTCAAGGAGTAAGTTGTAGTTATATTCTCCCCTTCAATTATAGGACTTATATCTTAATAAAAATATATCTAGGAGATGCCATCCAAAATGAATTAATTTTCCTGTAACATGTATTTCTATAGAGGATATCCTAAGAAAACCCATAATGTAGTAAAAGTTATAGATTTAGGAAATTGGGTAATACTTTATTAATTCTCTTTACTCTGCTTGTTGCCCTGATTTAAAAGCATATTAGTTTTGGGGCGCCTGGGTGGCGCAGTCGGTTAAGCGTCCGACTTCAGCCAGGTCACGATCTCGCGGTCCGTGAGTTCGAGCCCCGCGTCGGGCTCTGGGCTGATGGCTCAGAGCCTGGAGCCTGTTTCTGATTCTGTGTCTCCCTCTCTCTCTGCCCCTCCCCCGTTCATGCTCTGTCTCTCTCTGTCCCAAAAAAATAAATAAACGTTAAAAAAAAATTTTAATAAAAAAAAATAAAAGCATATTAGTTTTAAAAGTGGTTTGAATTATATAAATGTATGTAACCTTGACTTTGAAATTATTAAAAAGTCAAACAAAATAATTAGCCAAGGACATGTTGTGAACATTATTCAAATTATATTGTATCTAACATACAAGGTTCTGGCAGTAAAAGGACTATATATCTTTTTGGGGGAGGTATAGATGACACACAGTGTTACATTAGTTGCAGTTGTACAACATAGTGATTTAACAACTCTATATATTATGCTGTGCTCACCACAAGTTCAGCTACTGTCTGTCACCATACAATGCTATTTCATTACCAGTGACTATATTCCCTATGCCATACATTTTATTTCTGTGGCTTACTTATTCCATAACTGGAAGCATGTATCTCCCATTCCTCTTCACCCATTTTGCCCATACCACCACCTAATACTATCTAGAAACCACCATTTTGTCTCTGTATTTATAGGTCTGATTCTGCTTTTTATTTGTTATTCATTTTTTTTATATTTCACTTAAGAGTAAAATTATATGGTATTTGTCTTTCCCAGTCTGACTCATTTTACTTAGATAATACCTTCCAGGTCCATCCATGTTGTTGAAAATGGCAAGCTCAAATCTTTTATGGCTGTGTAATAATATCCCATCACACACACATACACGCACACACATATCCTAGCTTCTTTATCCATTCACATACGGATGGACATTTGGGTTGCTTCCATATCTTGGGTATTGTAAATAATGCTGCAATAAACACAGGGATGCATATATCTTTTTCAATTAGTATTTTTGTTTTCTTTGTGTAAATACTACTGGTATTATTAGATCATATGGTATTTCTATTTTTCTTTTTTCTTTTTTTTTTTTTTTGAGGGATCTCCATACTGTTTTCCACACTGGTTGTACCAATTTACTTAACATTCCCATCAACAGTGCACGAGGCTTCCTATTTTCCACATCCTTGCTAACACTTGTTATTACTTGTCTTTTTGATTCTAGCCATTTGATAATTGTAAGGTGGTAACTCATTGTGGTATCGATTTGCATTTCCTGATGATGAAATGCATCTTTTCATGTGTCTGTTGGCCATCTGTATGTCTTCTTTACAAAAATGTCCAGAGAACTATATATCTTGACCCTTGCCAACCCCTCCTCCAAATACAATAGCAAATTTGGATTCTAAACATTTGAAGTATTAGCATATTAAAACTTGTAGTTGAGGAGCAGGCCTGTTATTTTGCTTCCTATGTCTTCATATAGAAAGCAAAGGAATTGAGTTATGAAAAAAAGGTCAACTTTTATTATATACAGCTATACAAAGAAACAAAATCACAAATCATTTAAAAGTTTCAGTTTGAATCCATCATAATTGTGCAACTATACTTGCTTAAGATGAAAATACTTAAAAAATGTACTATTAAGAATTGGCACAATGAAAATTCTACATAGGGCCTTATTATAATTAAGAAAAATAAGACTACTCAGTGTGTGGTTTAGGAGAGTATATTTTCAATATTTTGAAATAAAATGCATAGTGCTAAAGGAATAATTCTATTATAATTTAATTCCTTGATTTTTGTTACCAACACTCTCTAAAAAAAGTGTAATCAGAATTTTTGAGAAGAGTAAAATAACTTTTTTCATTACTATTTTAATTTCTACACATTTATTTTTTAATTTAAGTTCAATAAGTTAACATACAGTGTAGTATTGGTTTCAGGAATAGAACCCAGTGATTCATTATTTACAAATAACACCCAGTGCTCATCTCAACACGTGCCCTCCTTAATGCCCATCACCCATTTAGCCCATTCCCCCACTCAACACCCCTCCAGCAACCCTCAGTTTGTTTTCTGTATTTAAGAATCTCTTATGGTTTGCCCCCCTCTCTGCTTTTATCTTATTTTTCCTTCCCTTCCCCTATGTCCATCTGTTGTGTTTATTAAATCCCACATGTGAGTGAAATCATATGATATTTGTCTTTCTCTGCTTAACTTATGTCACTAGCATAATACACTCTAGTTCCATCCACATTGTTGCAAATGACAGGATTTCATTCTTTTCGATTGCTAGATAGTATTCCATTGTATATATATACTACATCTTCTTAATCCATTTATCAGTGGATGGACATTTGGGCTCTTTCCATAATTTGGCTATTGTTGATAGCATTGATATAAACGTTGGGGTACATATGCCCCTTTGAATCAGCATTTTTGTATACTTTGGATAAATTCCTGGTCGTGCAATTACTGGGTCATAGGGCAGTTCTATTTTTAATTTTTTGAGGAAACTCCACACTGTTTTCCAGAGTAGTTGCACCAGTTTGCATTCCCACCAACAGTGCAAAAGGGTTCCTTGTACTCCATATCCTCGCCAATATCTGTTGTTTCCTAAGTTGTTAATTTTAGCCATTCTGACAGGTGTGAAGTGGTGTGTCATCGTGGTTTTGATTTCTACTTCCTGAATGATGAGTGATATTCAGAATCTTCTCAGGTTAGGCATCTGGATGTCTTTGAAAAAGAGTCTATTCATGTCTTCTGCCCATTTATTTATTGTATTATTTGTTTCTTGGGTGTTGAGTTTGACAAGATCCTCATAGATTTTGGATACTCACCCTTTATCTGATATGTCATTTGCATATATCTTCTCCCGTTTCATCAGTTGTCTTTTAGTTTTGTTGATTATTTCCTTCACTGTGCAGAATATTTTTATTTTGATGAGGTCCTAATAGTTCCTTTTTACTTTTGTTTCCCGTGCCTCTGGAGACGTGTCTAGTAAGAAGTTGCTCCAGCCAAGGTCAAAGAGGTTGTTGCCTGTTTTCTTGTCTAGGATTTTGATGGTTTCCTGTCACACATTTTGAATTTATTTTTGTGCATGGTGTAAGAAAGAAGTCCAGTTTCATTCTTTTACGTGTTGCTGTCCAGTTTTCCCAGCACTATTTGCTGAAGATACCATCTTTTTTACATTGGATACTCTTTCCTCCTTTGTCTAAGATTAGTTGTCCGTATATTTATGAGTCCATTTCTGGGTTTTTTATTCTGTTCCATTGATCTTTGTGTCTGTTTTTGTGCTAGTACCATACTGTCTTGATGATTAGAGCTCTGTAATACAGCTTGACGTCCGGAATTGTGATGCCTCCAGCTTTGCTTTTCTTTGTCAACATTACTTTGGCTATTCAGGGTCTTTTCTGGATCCATAAAATTTTGGGATTGTTTCTTGTAACTCTGTGAAGAATGCTGCTGTTATTTCGATAAGGATTGTATTGAATGTGTAGATTGCTTTGGTAGTATAGACATTTTAACAATATGTTTTTCTTCCAATCCATGGACATGGAATTTTCTCCATTTCTTTGTTTCTCCTTCAGTTTCTTTCATAAGCTTTCCAAAGTTTTCAACGAACATATTTTTTACCTCTTTGGTTAGGTTTATTCCTAGTTATCTTATGGTTTTTGTTGCAATTGTAAATGGGATTGATTTCTTGATTTCTCTTTCTGCTGCTTCAGTACTTGTGTATAGAAATATAACAAACTTCTGTATGTTCATTTTATATCCTGTGACTTTGCTGAATTCGCATATCAGTTCTAGCAGATTTTTCATTGGGTCTTTTAGATTTGCCATGTAGAGTATCATGTCATCTGTGAAGAGTGAAAGTTTTACTTCTTCTTTGTCAATTTGTATGCTTTTTATTGCTTTTTGTTGTCTGATTGCTGATGCTAGGGTTCCCAGTACTATGTTGGACAACAATGGTGAGAGTGAACATCCCATTGTCGTTTTCCTGACAGTTTTTCCCCATTTGGGATGACATTAGCTATGGGCCTTGCATATATGACTTTTATCATGTTGAGGTATATTCCCTTCTATCCCTACTTTCTTCAGGGTTTTTATCAAGAAAGGATGCTACATTTTGTCAAATGTTTTTTCTTCATCTATTGAAAGGATCTTATGGTTCTTATCCTTTCTTTTATTAATGTGTTTTATCAAATTGATTGAGTTACAAATATTACATGAGCCCTAAAGCCCAGAAATAAATTCACTTAATCATGGTGAATAATCCTTTTAATGTACTATTGAATTTGATTTCCTAATATCTTGTTGAGAATTTTTACATCCACGTTTATCAAGGATATTGGCCTCTAATTCTCCTTTTTAGAGGAGTCTTTGACTGGTTTTGGAATCAAGGTAATGCTGGCTTCATAGGATGAGTTTGGAAGCTTTCCTTCCATTTCTATTTTTTGGAAAATTTGAGAATATGTATTAACTCTGCTTTACATGTCTGGTAGAATTCCCCTGGGAAACCATCTGGCCCAGGACTCTTATTTTGTTGGGACATTTTTGATAACTGATTCAATTTCTTTGCTGCTTATTGGCCTATTCAAATTTTCTGTTTCTTCCTGATTGAGGTTTGGTAGTGTGTGACTGTCTAGGAATTTGTGCATTTCGTCCAGATTGTCCAGCTTTTGGCATATAATATTTCATAGTATTCTCTTATAATTGTTTGTATTTCTTGGTGTTGGTTGTGATCTGTCCTGTTCCATATGTGA